AAAACAAAATGCTGCTGTCGGGACAAAACCTCGTATCTCCGTTTTTCAGTTTTTGACATATTTTGAAAATGCCTGTTGGCCTTTACGCTGTGTGTCTATTTCATGATCAACAGACCAAAAGAAACGGCCCAAAACTACCTTTTAAATTTAAAAATTGTGGTTGCGTTGACTTACATTAAAAGTAAAGTATGTTTTTCCCTCCCTACTGTAAAGTTAGAATTTTGGAGATATGAAGTTTTGTTCCGTCAGCAGCAAAAACGCCTGAATAGTTGTTTCCCCTCATTGTGTTTAATTATAACGCATATATATCATATTATCACTGTCCAAACAAAAACCCAAGTATCATCATTTTGATCGATTTCTATTTTTCTCTACTATATTGGAGCTCAGCTGCTGTCCTTCACCCTGTGTGAAAATTTCACGATGAATGGATCAATAGAAAAGCTCCAGAAATGAAAAGGAGCTAAATCTCTTTACATTAACCTACATTGATAGTAGTGAAGGTTTTTGCCCTCTCCTGTACACCAGGTGATAATTTGTTTCTGGTGGATGTGTTTGTCCTGAGAATGTACAAAAACACACACACACACACACACACACACACACACACACACACACACTCACACACACACACACACACACACACAGTGTTGTCATTTTTCTGGAAGTTCTGAATCAGAGAATAACAGCAGCTCTATTGTCTGTACAGCAGTCTGCATATAAAAGAGCTCTAATTATAATTATACAACTGTCCTCTGAGTGTGTGTGTGTGTGTGTGTGTGTGTGCGTGTGTGTGTGTGTGTGTGTGCGTGTGTGTGTGTGTGTGTCCTGTCCCGTTTGTGTCTTTTTGTTGTTTGTGTCGTGCTGCCTCTCAGGCTTCACACTCACTCGATCGCGATTCTGAACTCTTTCGTCTTTTTTCCAGCTTTCTGAATTATAAATAACTCGGAAAAGCAGGCGGACGAATTTACTGAAATTATCTGTGTCAATGAGAGTGACAGGCACTGGACGAGCCTCAGAGGGAAGAGGGGGGAGAGAGAGAGAGCGAGAGGGGTAGAGAGAGAGAGAGAGAGAGAGAGAGAGAGAGAGAGAGATGTTTCGTTCTGAAATGAAGATGATCTCTCTCTCTCTAGTTTTCTGTCCCTCTTTCTTTGTGTCTCTCTTCCTCTATCTTTTTCTCTCCCTCTTTTCTTTACCTTTTTCTTTACCTCTCACTCCCTCTCTATACCTTTTTCTCCTCTTCTCTCTCTTTCTCTCTCCTTTCTCGCTCTCTATCTTTCCTTCTCTTTACCTCTCTCTTCCTAGACAAAGACAAAAGCAGTAGAGAGAGACGAAAGAGAGGAAGATGAGAGAAAAGAGAGTAAAACAGAAGAGAGAGAAAAGAGAAAGATAAGGAGAGAGTGAGAGAGAGAAAGAGGGAGGGAGAGAAACTGACAGGTGGAAAAGACAGATAAAAACAGAAGAGATCGAGAAAAGAGGAAGAAAGAGTCTCAGAGAGAGAGAGAGAGAGAGAGAGAGAGAAGCACAGCACTCTGATTTGAATCTTAATGGATAGATTTATTTGATGTCCGTTTAATCTAAATATTCTGTATGAATCTTTGTGTGAAATCTCACTCAGAGCCTCGTCTCCTCACATCTAACCCACACACAGAAGAAGAAGAAGAAGTCCATTGATTTGGTGATCAATCATAATCTCCTCTCCTTGTGCCCTGTGACCGATGTGTCACCCAAAATTCAATCAGCTGGACACTTCAGAGCACGCACACACACACACACACACACACACACACACACACACTCACACACACACACACACACACACACACATATACATGCACACTCATGCGTACGCAGTATAGCATATATGCTCTGTTAAATGCTTATTTCCTGTCTTCTTCCTCACCTTCGCCTGCAGGCAGTACACTACATAACCCTACACACTACACTACACAACACTACACTACACTACACTCTACACACTACACTACACTACACTACACACTACACACTACACTACACTACACACTACACAACCCTACACACTACACAACACTACACAACACTACACAGCACTACACTACACACTACACTACACACTACACTACACACTACACTACACTACACACTACACTACACAACATTACACAACACTACACACTACACTACACTACACACTACACTACACACTACACAACCCTACACACTACACAACACTACACAGCACTACACACTACACTACACACTACACTACACACTACACTACACACTACACTACACTACATAACCCTACACACTACACAACATTACACTACACTACACACTACACACTACGCTACACTACACTACACACTACACTACACTACACAACACTACACAACACTACACTACACTACACTACACAACACTACACACTACACTACACTACACAACACACTATACAATACACAACAGCATACACTACACTATAATACACTACACTGTGCTAAACTACACTACACACTGCATTACACTACATTACATTACACTACAATACACATTACACTACAATACACACTACAGTACAGTATACACTACATTATGCACTGCACTACATTACAATACACACTACACTACACTTCACTACACACTACATTACACTACACTACAATATATACTGTACTACACTACACACTACACTACTCTACACACTACACTACACACTACACTACACTACTCACTAGACTCAACTAAAATACACTACAGTATATACTGCACCTCAAACATACACTCCACCGCAACATACACTACATTACGCTACACTATCATTTATAAAAAATACACAACGCTACAATATACACTACAGTTGAACAACTGCTACATTGCACTACAACATGTTACACTGCACTAAAATTTACACTGCACTAAAATTTACACTACACTACATTACACTCCACCACAATATACACCACACTACGATATACATCACAGTACACTGGACTACACTTTACACTACACTGTAATATACAGTGAGCTACAATATATTATCCAGTACACTACTATACACCTCATTACAGTACACTACAATACACTATAGTGCATATACACTACAGTACACTACAGTGCAACATATAGTACAGTACACTATAGTACATATACACTACAGTACACTATAGTGCAACATATAGTACAGTACACTATAGTGCATATACACTACAGTACACTACAGTGCAACATATAGTACAGTACACTATAGTACATATACACTACAGTACACTACAGTGCAACATATAGTACAGTACACTATAGTGCATATACACTACAGTACACTATAGTACAACATATAGTACAGTACACTATAGTGTAGTATATACTACAGTACATTACAGTGCAATATATAGTACAGTACACTATAGTGCAGTATACAATACAATACACCACACTACACTACAATATACACTACATTCCATTTCAGTACACATTACAGTAAGCTACACACAGCACACACTGCAGTATACTACAATGTACACTACACATAAATACACACTGCAGTACACCACACTACAGTAAACTACAAAAATACTACAGTGCACACTACAGTACATAACACAGCAACACACACTACGGTACACTACAGTATAGTACACTACAATGTACACTACAGTACATAACACAGCAACACACACTACGGTACACTACAGTATAGTACACTACAATGTACACTACAGTACATTGTACAACAATACACACTGCAGTACACTATACTACAGTATACTGCAATGCTCAGTACAGTACAATACATTATAGTACGCAACAGTGTACATTATAGAACACTTCAATACACCACAAAGCCTACAACACTACAACACAGTGCACTACAATACACTGCAGCACAATGCACTGCAATGCACAGCACACTCCAATATGGTGCACTACATTTCACACTACACTACAACGTAGTGCACTACAATGCACACCACACTGCACAAAAATACAGTGCACACTACACTACAACACAGTGCACTACAATACACACTACACTACAACACAGTGCACTACAATACACACAACACTACAATACAATGCATTACAATGCACACTACACTACTACAGTGCACTACAATGCACATTACACAGCAAAACAGTGCACTAAAATGCACACTACACTAAACAACAACAAAGTGCACTACAATGCACACTACACTACTACAGTGCACTACAATGCACACTACACAGCAAAACAGTGCACTACAATGCACACTACACTAAACAACAACAAAGTGCACTACAATGCACACTACACTACTATAGTGCACTACAATGCACAACACACTACACAACAACAAAGTGCACTACAATGCACACTATATTACTACACTACTCTACAATGCACACAACACTACCACAGTGCACACTACACTACAAAAGAGTGCACTACTATGTACACTACACAGCAACAAAGTGCACTACTATGTACACTATTCTGCAATATACTAAAGTATGCAGTACAATACAGTACAATTCACTACAATACAATACACAGTACAGAAAACAATAATACAGTGCACTACAATGCATTTTACAGTGCACTACACTACAATACACTACGATACACACTTCAGTACAGCAGACTCTACACAATACTATCGACACTACGATTCACTGTGTAGATTTGCTCACTTTTAGCAGTGTGTGTAATGTAGCGTACACTAAACACTATAGTACACTACAGTACTGTACACTGCACACACTACAATATACAATATACATGCTATACACACTACAGCAACTCATTAACACAGCACTGCGCAACACTACACAGTTATAAACAACAGTGCAGTACACTGGACTACACAACATCACTGTATCAGCTTTATTCCTCTCTCAGTGCCTGAGCACAGCTGCTTTAGTTTGAGTGTAAAACTAAAAGATGCTTTAACACACACACACACCACACACACACACACACACACACACACACACACTACACTGTTATTAAACCGATGTGAATAAAAGCTTCTTACCTGCTTTAGATGTTGATCTAATCGTTTAACACACTGTCCAGCTTCACACGCTCAGCTGTGTGAGAGATACACGCGCTCCGAGCAACCCTTCAGTGCGCGTGTGTGTGTGTGTGTGTGTGTGTGTGAGAGAGAGAGAGAGAGAGAGAGAGAGAGAGAGAGAGATAGCACTGCATCTCTGAGTGCTCGTTAATGTGTGTTGAGATTAAAATGAAGGGTTATAAGCTGCTCTCCCATTCAAATCAAGTCCCGCCGGGCACACACTTGGACACACACACACACACACACTTGGACACACACACACACACACACTTGGACACACACACACACACACACACACACACTTGGACACACACACACACACACACACAGTGGGGTAAAAAGAACACAAAAATATTTCCCTCCTTTCACTAAGATCATTACTTTTGTGTCACTTTGTATTCATAAGATCAGTTTGTGTGTGTGTGTGTGTGTTGTGTGTGTGTGTGCGTGTGTGTGTGTGTGTGTGTGTGTGTGTGTGAGAGAGAGAGTCAATAGAAAATCCTGTTAGCATCTGCTTTTTTCCACACACACCTCAACCTCTAAAGAGTGACACGAGACTAAGAACCCAAATGACTCTGGCTCCCACAGCCACGTATTCTTATTACGTATAGTTATTTATATACAGTTTAGCACATATGCAACATATTATTATTATTGTTATTACATATAGTTCGGTAAATATAATACATAAGGGATGTGTTACTGTTACATATGGCTACTTCTATATAATACATGTAGAACATGTTATTATTACACATAGCTACTACTATATAATAATTAAGGAACATTATCATTATTACATATAGCTACTTCTATATAATACATATGGAGCATTATTATTATTACATACAACTACTAATATTATAATACACATAGGACATATTAATAAATATAGCTACTTATATATATTACATATGGAACATTATTATTACATAAAGATACCTATATATATATATATATATATATATATATATATATATATATATATATATATATATTATGTGTAGGACATATTATTATTATTTTTACATATAGCTACCTATATATATTACATATGGAGCATTATTATTATTACATATAGCTACTTATATATTACATATATGTGAGATATTATTACATATAGCCACTAATATATAATACATATGGAGATTCATTATTATTACATATAACTACTACTATTATAATACACATAGTTCATATTAACAAATATAGCTACTTGTACATAATACATATGGAACATTATGTGTATATATATATATATATATATATATATATATATATATATATATATATATATGAGACATATGGGACATATTATTATTACATTTGGCTATATACACATACACAATTCATGAAGGTTAATATATGGCAGACACAAGTCCTTGAGTCCCAACACTGCATAAAAACAAACCCCCTGTGTGTGTTAAGGATGCAGTTGATGCTTTGGAGAAAAAAAAACCACCAGAGCTGAAATTCAAATGAACATCTCAGCAGCTCTAATATGTGTCCTGCTGTTTTCCGCTCCGCTGAACACTCACGCTGCTGTAATAGCTTTAATACATCACTCCACTCTGGACTTCAAAACTGCGGCAGACACGCTGTGAGGACTCATTCACACACTCCCTCCACCGTTTAACACTCAGCTTACGGAGCGCAGGGAGCATATTGATCATTTACAAACACGTCTATGCAGCTTATGACCTACGCCTTCATAATTACAGCATTATATTTAGGTATTTTGATATACGGTGTTTAATTTAGACAATGAACAATCACAATCACTGTCTCTCATAAGCGCACGCTGCCATTTAAACCTTCACACTGATGTGTCCCACACACAGCTGAGGTTGTGGGATCATTAGGCATTCGTAAGTCCCTTTCGCCTGTGGAGAAAATGATTGGCGCTTTGAAACATCACAGCCGTCATCCTCTGTGGTCAGTTCCAAAGCCCATTCGATCAAATATCACTGTCATTTGCTGTCTGAGGCCGTGATCCTATGTTTTATCCATTGTTTTCATTTTTACTGCTATTTTAAAGCTTTCTTTACCTTTAACCTCATCACTGTTGATAAACAATGCTCTTTTAATGTTTTATTTCTGTGCTGTTTTTACCGCACACTGTTTTGTTTAAGTTGTTTTACTGTGTTATTTAAACACATTGTGAAGCACTTTGAGCTGCCCTGCTGAAAAAACCCATAGAAACGATATATATTGCTGCTGTCACTCATGTTCCAATCACAGTCCAATTCACTGATTTTTCATCTATTTCTGTCTTTCGTTATCTTTGTAAATTAGTTTAGTAAATCATTTTAACAGGAATATCATAAATAAAGCCGGTTATACAGCTGTAACTAGTCTAGCACAGATTACATTAGTAATCTAAAGTAATCTGTGCTAGATTACAGATTAGTAAAATTAGATTAGTAATTAGTAAACTAGTCTAGCACAGAGTCAAATACAT